AAGAAATGAGAAGGAAGTAAAAGAAACTGGAAAGGTAAAAGCGAAAGATCGGAGGGGATAGTAGAAGAAAAGGCGACTAGACTGAATCATCCTGGCCGGGCCTTACCAGGACTCCCGTCTACGAGAAGCGGGGGCCGAAGTGATGTATTGCCTCACCCGGGGGGCCCCGAAAGGTCCAAACCTGCCCAGGGCTCGGCTCAACCACCAGGATCCCTTTTTCCCGGACACGGGAAAGCCACGCACAGCCAGACGTGGGAGGGCGAACCCGCATGGCTCGGGGTCCGTGGAGACGCCACTCTCCAAACACCTGCTTTCACAAGTGCCCCCCTGCGGGGCTTCGTACTTGCAGATTTCAGACTCGTATAAATATCGACAAACTTTGAATAGGCCTCCTCGGAGGGTGTGTTTTCGACAAAAAAAGACCCAGTCATAGCCTGCAATCAACCTATCAAGATGACAGGAATCAGTGAAACTGATCTGTCAATGTTTTTCAAAACTTTCGTCTGAGTCATTTACGGAGCTTAATCTAGAAGCAATAAAATAGTGGTCCGTTAGCTTCTGCTGGATGATGACAGCTGATACTGGTAGTCCCGAGTTTCACACACCTACGTGATCAATGCACGACGTTACTAGTTTGTTTTGGAGGATTTCTTCTCTAGTCGGTGCATTAATTTGACTTTCTATACCATAACTGGCGAGAATATTTAAATGATCGAAAACTTGAGACTTGGATTGCTTTAGTAAATCAATATTGAAATCAACCACCAGGAAAACATTATTGGTAATTGCCAACTTTTCTAAATTTGTATCCAACTCCTCTAAAAAGCTAAGCACATTTTCAGACGGCGGTCTGTAAATAGCCAAAAGTGATACAACTGAAGTACGGTAAAAAGGTCTAGAGCAAGGCATTCGGCATGATTAAAACTAAGGTTCAAGTCAACCGTCGACCAGTTACCTTTTACATAAATGGCTATACCTCCTCCCCTGGATTTACTACGAGTAGAAACGAAGACATCATAACCAGGTAAGGACAATTGGTTTTGCGAAACTTCGATGTCCCGAACATTTATTTCCGTTAGAACAAACACGTCTACACTAACCCCCACTCTTCCTGCAACGATTTGAAATTCATTCCAGTATTTTCTAATGCTTCTTTTATTGACATGTAGGACCGGAAGTGTACTAGAACTAGTAGGAAAAAAGTCGAGAAACGGGGTGAAATCAGGAAATACTTGAAAGTAAACATTTGGCAGAAATCTGCCTGGTTGACGACGAGCTAATCTCTCGTCGTCAACGTAAGTCTGATCGACACCTAAGACCACTAGAAATCGCACATCCCCGCTCAACCAAACGCGTCTGCGTCCCTTACATAAAGGAAAACAGCGAAGCGCTCGCGCGGGTGGTGGCAAAAGAAGGCATTCAGATGGCCCACAAACCAGTGTCAACGCTTGGACACCTGATGCCCCGGCCAAAAGATCGTCCCCCCGAGGAAAGAGCGCAAGGTGTTATTTACCAGATTCCTTGTGCGGATTGCCCTGCCACATACATTGGCCAAACCAAAAACTTTAAGGAAAGAATTCGCCAGCACAAAACCGACGTGCGAAAGTTCGATCTTAAGCGCAGCGCGGTTGCCGAACAGAGTGACTCGAATGACCACCGCATTAACTTCGACAACAGACGCATCCTCGACATTGAGGCAAACTCCCGGCAGAGGCTCTTCTTCGAGCCATGGCACATCCAAACCACACCGCAAAACATTAATCGGTCGCTTGGCGCTTTACCATCCGCCTACGTCAGCGGGCTCAGCCACATTACGATTGCGAAAACATCACGTCCACCGTCGTAAAAGACCACTTGCTCCTCGCGCACACAGTCGCCCCTGATGAAGAAACCAAGCAGGTTTCGAAACTTTGGGCTCCTTTTTATTTTTGTTGGCGTTCCTTCCCCCTCTTCTAATCAGGAAGTATTATTGTGTCCTCCATTATTACGCTATTTTTTATAAATCCCTAGTGCTAGATGTACGGAGCGCCAGTGACGTTTCATCTTTCTTAGCAAAGATGACCGCGTTTTTTACCCACGCGAACTTGTACGATTTTTCTTTACCTTTGTTTCGCGCCTGCCAGAAGAGGGCCTTATTAGCTCTGGTTAGATTGTCGTTGAAGTAAAGCCTCTGTTGGTGCTCTGACCGAGAAAGCGCAGCCAGCTCCTTGCGCGAGCTCAACCAGTGTTCCTTGCTGGATACCGAGGTGAATTGCACCAAAATTGGCGCAATACCGTCGCGCCTGGAGCGCAAGCGATGGCAGGCTACTACTTCAGAGGGGTCAAAACTGGCTACATCTAAATTTTGAGCAAGATCGACTAGAACGGCTTGCAGGTCTTCACCGCTCGTACATGGCACACAATGCATTTCCAGATTGCATCTTCGACTGTACTGCTCATTTGTATTAATATTTGACTGGGGTTTCGCAATCATTGTCGTTTGATAGGACACTGTAGCTTGCAGTGCACCGACCTCTGATCTGTGTAGCTTCACCTCCTTCTCATTTTCGGTCACAGTCTGCATCAGCGATTCGCATTTTCTCACAGATTCCTGGAGTCCCTTAATCGTTTCCTTAATCGCATCAACTGAGGGCTTTAGCGAAAGAAGGTCATCCACCTTAGCCGGGAGATCGCAGAGCCGATCAACATTTGCCTTCAGACAGTGAAGCAGCTCGAGCTTCCAGTTTATCTCTGCAAGTTGCGCGGCGACTGCGTCTCCCCCGGTAGGAAGCACGTCCTCACTCACACAGCTCATTTCATTTCATTTCATTTATTTAACCCTTAAATGCCCACAGGGGGCTTTACATAAGGGGGGGGGGCATATTAAAACACTCAAATTAACACAAACAGGAAAAAAGGCTAGGATGTTTGGGAACGCGTACAAACAGGACGCTAGGTGGTGTCGAGAGAGGAAATGGCAGATCTTAAGTTATTGCATTTTGTGATGCTCACAATAGCTTCCGGGAGGTTGTTCCAATCAGTAATAGCCAATTGCAAGGGAGAAAATTTGAATAGGTTAGTCCTAGGCGTAGTCAGTTGAATTTTGAATGGATGGTCAGTGCGGGGGAAGATGTGGACGGCAGGTGGGCAGTATTCATCTTTTTTTATAGGAAAATTATAATATATTTTGTGCAGGTGGGTAAGACGCAATACTTTTTTCCTGTGTTTTAAAAGAGGGAGGTTTAATTTTGCTTTCATTGCGTTAACACTTGTAGGATGATAATTGCGGAGAATGAAACGTGAAGCCCGGTTCTGAACAGCTTCCAATTTTTCTTCTAGATACAACTGATGGGGGTTCCAGACAATGGATGCATACTCCAGTTGAGGACGGATGAGTGAATTATCCGCGATGAGTTTTGTTTCTTGCGTGGCCTTATAGAGATGGCGCTTTAAAAATCCCAAGCTTTTGTTTGCTTTCGCAGATATGTAGTTAATATGATGCTCCCATGATAAGTTATGGTTAAAGTTGATGCCAAGATACTTGTAGGATGTTACGGCTTCAATTGGTATGGTAGAAAGAGAATAATCAATCTGAGTAATGTTTTTTTTGGTAGTGAAGTTAAGAAATTTTGTTTTGTCAACATTGATCTCCATTTGCCACTCTCGACACCACGCTTGGATTTGTGAAAAGTCATTTTGCAAAAGGGTACAGTCGGTTACATTCATTATTTTTCTATAAATCACGCAGTCGTCCGCATATAATCTGATAGTGGAATTGAGAAGATCCGGCGGGTCATTAATGTAAATTAGGAACAACAATAGACCCAGCACGGTTCCCTGCGGTACTCCCGATTTAACAAGTTTTTGTGACGAACAATTGTTGTCTGTAACAACGTTATGTGTTCTGTTTGAAAGGAAGTTTTCAATCCAGTTTATTACGGTCGTTTCTACTTTAAGTGCTTTTAATTTTGGATAAGACGGCAATGTGGGACTTTATCGAACGCTTTATTAAAATCAATGAAGATTGCATGAGTTTCATGTTTTTTATGTAGGTTATCGTGGATGTCCGTTAAAAATTAAAAAAGTTGAGATTCACAGGAGTACGACCGCCGGAAACCGTGCTGGTTTGAGAAGGGCATATTATTTTTACATAAATAATATATTACATTAGAATAAACGACATGTTCTATCAATTTACTTGCAACAGAGGTTAGAGATATGGGTCTGAAATTGGTAGGGACATCTTTTGCGCCATCTTTAAAAATTGGGACAACCATTGCAGATTTCCAGTCAGCCGGAACAACACTAGAGTCAAGGGATTTTTGAAATATGCGGGATAAAAGTACACTTGATATGTCACTTGTAATCTTGAGCAGCTTTGTAGTTATAAGGTCAGGACCGGGAGCCGATTTAGATGGTAAATTTGATATTAAGTTTGAAATTCCGTCATTTGTTACAATGATCTGATCCATTTGGGTGGTTATAAGATATTCTGGGCAGTAAGGGGGTAATGGAAAAACTTCATCAGTGAACACTTCACTAAAGAAAGTACAAAACAGCTCGCAAGTCTCGGCTGCCGATAAACTTTTTCCAGAGGCGTCACTCAAGCTGACCGAGTCCTTTACTGGCTTTGGATTTACAGCGGCCCAAACTTATACTTATATATTATAGAGTAAGCCCATACTTATCTTACTCTCGCGGTTTCTGCATGTTCGACAAATCCACTTATCGCGCTTTGAGGTTCCCATCGATTTGAACGTTCTTTCCGAAATTCCGGAGCATGAATTGAAATGGTAAACATGTTTACATGAAGCACAGGTCATGAAACTCCCGTAAGATGGAACTTGCTCAAAACACGCAATACACTTTGTAGAACTTGTGGCCGCCATGGTAGAAGAGAAAAGTAAGACTTTGCGAGTGAACAAGGAAAGAAGAAACACACAACTCTGAATGAACACTTGGTGCAGTCGGCGGCAGAACAATAACAGTCGCTATCAAAACATTATATAAAAAATTCTCACCTGCCGAAAATAGCAAAGTTAGTTTCGTGATGATTTCAGGCCGCCGACTGCGCTGAGGAGAGCCGTGGGATCCGCTGATATAGTCGTCCTATCCGGTTGCCCGAATGATGAACGGCGATCAACCACGTGGCCTGGTGTTGCTTGACGAGTGCTGAGTCAGCGACATCGGTCGGCGATCGGCAGCGATGGTGCGCGCCTGGCACGAGGAACTGCCGGAACCGCAGGACCGCTCGCCCTGCCGAAAATGGCAAAGTTAGTTGCGTGATGATTTCGGGCCGCCGCCGACGATGATGATGATGATGATGATGATTATGATAATGATAATGATAATGATAATGATGATGATGATGATGATGATGATGATGATGATGATGATGATAATAATAATAATAATAATAATAATTTTATTGCACAGACTTCAATACAATACAGAAAAAGCGGGCCCGTCGAAAGCCAATAGCGGCTTGTGGGACTGGACCCAGCAGCGGCGTAAAGGAAAAAAAAAAAACTATAGTGCACAAAACAAATATCAGCAATCACAAGACATTTGCGAAGTAGCTAAACACAATGAGATCCAACACAACCTATAAACAATCGAAGTTGAAATAAGCTAAACAACAAAACAAAAGCACGAAAAAGAGTGCATGACACTATACAAGTCCAAACTCAACCGAAAAATAGCGGCGAAAACCAAGAAACGAAGACCAAGAAAATGCAGATACTTTTCAGCGCTGTCGACGTATACAAAGTAAAAAAAAAAAGAAAGAAAGAGCGATGAAGAGCAAACATATTGAAGCTTGTTAAATAATCCAGAGTTAAATAATCCAGAGTAACTCTAGCATAACGTTTGTAAAGCTTTTTTTAACTGACGCTTGGAAGTTATTTCAAAAAACGTATCCGACATGTTGTTAAAGAGCTCAGGGACATAAAAGAAACGCAGTCTTTTCCCATACTTAGTATATACACGCGGAACGACATAAGGTTTGCTTTCTCTAAGAACGCGCTTTTCAACTTGAGGCGTCTTGAAGGTACTTGTTCAATAATGCTTGCTAATTACACATCTACTGAAGAGGGCTGAAAGGCGCGGGAGACCCAAGAAAACAAATAAATCATCACTGGACATAGGTAGCGAGGTGTACGCGACTCCCCTTAGAATGCTTTTTAAAATAGTGTCAATTTTATCATGCCAGAGCACAGAACAGTTAGCATATACAGTAATGCCATAACGCAACAAGCCGTAGGCTAATGCATTCACTATAATTTTTCTGACCGAAAAAGGGAAAAAAGATTTTGTACAATACAACATACACGATACACTTCGCAGTCTTTTTGCAATATAAGCGAGATGCGAGTTCCAAGATAGATATAGATCAGCATCAAAAAATATTCCCAAGTACTTGACTGTGCTGACAAATTTAAGAGGCGTACACCTGCAATCTGTACACTTGGAAGAGTGCATTAGGAGAGGAATATCTCGACAATACCGTTTTAAAGGATTACTGAAACGCACGAGTTTCGTTTTTTGAATGTTAAGTGTAATATAATTTGCTTCAAACCAGTCTATTACTCGGGAAGCATTGGTTTGTAATAACGAAATAGCATCGTGGAAATTTATATGCCGTGAAAACAACAGCTTGTCGTCAGCGTATTGGTAAATATCGCACCCTAAAACAGTCTTAGCCAGGTCATTTACGTACAAATTAAACAAAAGGGGCGACAAAACCGAGCCCTGAGGCACTCCGGCTTTCAAAGGTACATTGACACTGGTGGCGTTACAAAGCGAAACGTGCTGCGTCCGGTTTGTCAAAAAATCTTGAAGGATACGGTAAAAAGGCCCCCTAAAACCCTAGTCATACAATTTTTTCAGTAGTACCTTATGACTGATGGTGGCGAATGCTTTAGAAACGTCTAAAAAAAGTGCGCAGGCAAATTTGTTGCTTTCAAATGTTGAGTGTAACGAGTCCACGAGTTCCTCTAATAGCGAATCGGTGCCACGCCCCGCCGTAAAACCTTGCTGTGTCGGCGACAATATATCAAACTTGTCGAGAAACGTAGTCATTGTTTTTAACATATGTTTTTCCAAAACTAGCGCTAAACAAGGGAGAATAGATATTGGCCTGTAACTTTCAAAGTTATCACGAGCACCGCCTTTGTAAATTGGTCTAACTATTGCAATTTTCAAGCCAGCCGGAATTATTCCGAAGCTAAGAATTCCGTTAAATATGTGCAGCAAGATATTTTCCAGCACTTCAAAATTGCGACGTAGGTCTCCGAGACGGATTTTATCTGCCCCGGGTGCCTTATTGGGATTAAAACTAAATAAAAGTGTACGTAAATCCTCCCTCATTCATGTCCGACAGAAAGGCGGATGCTAAGCAAGAACGCTCTAGATTAGTAGGCGCGATAACTTCATCATGGGAGACACCCGAAAATTTGGCAAAGAAAAGATTGAAACCGTCAACAATTGGTAATACATTAGGCCCGAAATATTTTTTTTATATTGTCATCAATGGACGGCCTACTAGAGCATCCCTTAACCTCGTTTACAAGGGCCCAGGTCTTAGCAGTATCGAAGCGTGATTGAAAAAACTTCCCCTGGAAATGACGACGTTTTCTGGAACGAATAAGTGCACTTACACGATTCCTTTCACATTTGTATTGCAATCTTAGCTCTTTGTCCTCAGGAAAACGACGACATCGTGCCCACAAGATATCTTTCTCTTTGACGGCAGAAAGGACGTCTGCCGTCAGCCATGGCTAATTCAACCGACGTTTTTTTATTGTAATGGTTTTTGAGCTCATGGCCCTAAAAGTTGAGAAAAGTTCGACTAACTTTAAGTAGGCCTCCTGATAGCTACAATCTTCAATAACATAATTCCAATTGTAAGTGGAAATTAATCTATCGAAGCGGCGTGTATCTGTAATTTCGGCTTGGTTTTGTTGTTCTATTGCATCTGAAATGATATCAAAGTTAATTCGACTAGCCACAAAATAATGGTCCGCCAACTTTTTCTTAATGACTGCCGATAAAATGGGAATCCCCGAGTTTGTAACGTTAATATGGTCAATAATAATAATATTAATAATAATAATAATAATAATAATAATAATAATAATAATAATAATAATAATAATAATAATAATGTTTATTGCACAAATATAGATACAATACATACATATGCGGGTCCGTCAAAAGCCAATAGCGGCTTGTGGAACTGAACCCGGCAGCGGTGTAATAAAACATCAAACGAGTCATTGAAAGATATCACGCAAAACATCAATGAAAGATAAAGGAAAAAAAAAAAAAACACACAGCAGTCAGGATACATATGCAAATTCCAGCAAAACACTCATTTAAATATAAAGCATATACACAACGAAACCAAAAAACCACCAGACCGCAGACAAAAACCCTGTCAATAACTGGAGACAAGCGCGTGTTACGATTATTGCTATTTCATTGGAGGCAAAGGCCAAAAGGGAAACCAAGCTTAAAGTCAGCATCGGGGACTATCTGCAGATTATTCAAGATTAGGGTCAAATTAATGATATAAAGCCGAAGGAGACTAACATTGCATGTAAACTGGAAAACAAGAGCGTAAGTATAACTTTAGCATATTGCTCTTATAGTTTTTTTTAATTGGCGCTTTGTGGTTATCCCAAAAAACGTGTCCGGTAAGCCGTTAAAGAGTTCGGGTACATAAAATGAGCGCAGTCGTTTTCCATATTTTGTATAAACACGTGGGATTATGAAACGTTCACCGTCTCTCAAAACACGTTCCACTACACGAGGCGTTTTAAACGAACTTTGCCAGATATGCTTACTAATTACACATCTTTTAAATAGAGCTAGGAAACGCGGCAGGCAGAGGGATGCGAATAATTCATTACTCGGCATAGAAATAGACCCGTACGCTACACCCCTCAAAATACTTTTTAGGATCGTGTCGATTTTATTTTGCCACAGCACTGAACAGTTTGCATAAATAGTAATACCGTACCGTAGCAACCCGTAGGCTAAAGCATTGACTATCATCTTGCGAACAGAAAATGGAAAAAAGGCCTTTGTAGAATACAACATACATGATACACTTCGCAGACGCTTGGCAACATAGCTTAGATGGGAATTCCACGACAGATCACTGTCGAAGCAGATTCCTAAATACTTGTTGGAAGCAACAAATTGAATAGGTGGACATATGCAGCGCGCACATTTCGATGAGTGCAACACAAAGGGAATTTCTGGGCATTTGCGTTTCAGGGGACTCCTGAAACACATTAGTTTTGTTTTATCAATGTTAATTTTAATACAATTTGCCTCGAACCAGTCTATTACCCGGGTAGCATTGGTTTGCAGTAAAGAAATCGCACTGCACAAATTAATATGCCGAGAAACTAACAAAGTATCATCGGCATACTGATAAATATCGCAACCGGAAACAGCTTTGGCTAAGTCATTTACGTAAAGATTAAACAAGAGTGGCGATAAAACAGACCCCTGAGGGAGTCCAGCTTTCAGATTTATACTGACACTGCTGGTTTTGCCAACTGAAACGTGCTGCGTCCGATTCGATAAGAAATCTTCAAGAATACAAAAAAAGGGCCCCCGGAAACCGTAATCGTAAATTTTTTTCTTAAGTACTTTATGACTAATAGAATCAAACGCCTTTGAAACGTCTAGAAAGAGTGCGCAGGCATGTTTGTTGTTGTCAAAAGTTTCATTTAAAGTGTCAACGAATTCCTCAAGAAGCGAGTCGGTACCACGCCCGGAGATAAAGCCGTGCTGGGACGGCGATAACATATCAAACTTCTCAAGGAACATGGTCATTGTTTTTAGTATATGCTTTTCGAATACTAGGGCTAAACACGGCAGAATAGATATCGGTCTGTAGCTTTCAACACTGTCACGCTTACCCCCTTTGTAAATGGGTCTAACAATTGCACTTTTCAAACCAATAGGGATTACACCACTGTTTATAATTCCGTTCAATACGTAAAGCAGGATGTTACTTAGTGCATTGAGATTGCGCCGCAAGTCGGCAAGGCGAATGTTATCTGCCCCGGGTGCTTTGCCGAGCTTAAAACTAAATAAAAGCGTATGTAAATCTTCTGCCGTAATGTTTGGTAGAAAGGCGGATGCTGAGCAGGAGCGCTGAAGATTAGAGGGCATGACATGTTCATCATGCAGCACACCCGAAACCGACGCGAAAAAGCGATTAAATCTTTCCGCAACATGTGACATGTCATTTCCAAAATGTTTCTTAATTGTATCGTCAATAGACGATCTAGTAGAGCATCCCTTGACTTCATTTACAAGAGCCCACGTCTTCAAAACATCAAATCGTGATTGAAAAAACTTATCATGAAAATGGTGACGCTTTCTTGAGCGAATGAGTGCATTTACACGGTTCCTCTGTGCCTGAAATTGCAGTTGTAATTCCTTGTTCTGTGGAGAGCGACGACATCGTGCCCATAAATTATCCTTTTCTTTTATAGCAGAAAGAACGTCTGAAGTTAACCACGGTCGATTTGGCCTGCGTTTTTTAACTGTAACAGTTTTCGTGCTCATGGCTCTGAAGCTTGAAAATATTTCAACCAGCTTTAAGTAGGCGTCGTGACAGTTATAATTTTCAATGACCCGATTCCAGTCATATCTAGAAATTAATCTATCAAAATTACTTGCATTCATTATAAATATTTGGTTTTGTCGTTCTAATGGTTCAGAAATAAACTCGGCGTATATTCGACATGCCACAAAGTAGTGGTCTGCCAATTTATGTTTGATAACGGCTGATAATATAGGAACCCCTGAGTTCCTGATATTTATATGGTCGATACAAGAACTAACCATTTGATTGGACAAGTACTCTTCTCTAGTAGGCGTCTGAATTACGCTGTCAATACCATAGTTTGCCAGAATATTTAAATAATCACAGACGGCACTTTTGAAAGGCTTTAGTAAATCAATGTTTATGTCACCCACCATACAAAGCTTATCGGTAGGCACCATAGTTTGTAAACTCGCGCTTAGCTCATCTAAAAAGTTACGCACATTTTCTGATGGTGGTCTATAAACTGCCAGAAGGGATACTACGAAATTGTTTTTACATAACTTTAAAGTCAGACATTCTGCATGTTCGAGTGTAATGTCTATGGTACTTGCTGACCAGGTATTTTTAACATAAACAGCTATTCCTCCTCCTCTAGATGAGTTACGAGTCAGGAAGAAAGCCTCAAAACCAGGCAGAGAAAACTGACCTTGAGAAACGCCCACATCCCGAACATTTACCTCGGTTAGGACAAAAATGTCAACAACGGTGTCAGTTGCCCCAACAATGAGTTGAAATTCGTCCCAGTATTTCCTAATGCTTCTGATATTTACATGTAAAACCGTGAGCGAACTAGCACTAGGCGGAAAGGAGTCAATAAACGTTGAGAAATCAGAGTTTAGTGTAGTGTTATCCATTTCTATACTATTTTTCCCAAGTCCCTAGTGCTAGAGATACGCACTGGCGATGAGTTCTCGTCCTTTTTCGCAAAAATGGCGGAGTTCTTAACCCACACAAACTTATACGATTTTTCCCTTCCCTTGTTCCGCGCTTGCCTGAAGAGGTCCTTATTTGTCCGAGTCAAATTTTCATTAAAGTATATCCTCTGCTGGTATTCAGACCGAGAAAGGGTGGCCAACTTTTTGCGAGCATTCATCCAGTGTTCCTTTACCGACACTGAGGTGAACTGCACCAAAATGGGGGCAGCCCCCTCACGCCTAGAGCGTAAGCGGTGGCACGCTACTACTCTATCGGGGGTATGGGTCGCGAGCCCCAGTTTCACCGCAAGGTCGGCCATAGTCACACTCAGGTCTTCGCCGTTCGCGCAAGGAATACCGTGGATTTCCATGTTACACCTTCTGCTATATTGCTCGGATGAGTTTACGTTCGCCTGTAACTGCTCTATTATTGCCGTTTGATCTGTCACCGTTGTTTGGAGTACTTCAACCTCGGAACGGAGAAACTTCACCTCTTTATCGTTTGCAGTAACCAGCTGCATCATTGATTCACACTTTCCGACTGATTCTTGTAGTCCCTTAATTGTTTCCTTCATTGCATCAACTGATGGTCTCAAAGAAAGCAGGTCATCCACTTTGGCTGGAAGCTCACACAGCCGGTCAACGTTAGCCTTCAGGGAGTGGAGCAACTCAAGTTTTACGTTTATTTGTGCCAGTTGTGTAGGAAACAGCATCGTCTTCTGGTGGTAACACCGCCTCCCCTGTTGTGCCTATGACTGATCTGCTTTCGCGATTTCTGCATGTACGGCAGATCCATTTCTCGCGCTTCGCACCTCCCATCGACCTGAAGGTTCTGTCAGCTATGCCGGAGCACGCATCGAGATGATATGCATGTTTACAGGAGAAACATTTTATAAAAGTTCCGTCCGTGGGCACAGGCGCGAAGCATGCAATGCAATCAGTTTCGTCTAAATTAGCCATTACTAAGTAAACAATAATTAATTTCTTTTTTTCAAAGGCACATGGAAAAAACACTCACAGGAACAAAAAAAAAAAATCAAATTTTCACAAATGCACTTGTCGCAGTCGGCGGCAGAAAAGAAACAAAAGCTATTCAAACATTATTACAAAAATAGACGCTCACCTGCCGAAAGTGGCGAAAGTTAGTTGCGTGAAGATGACAGGCCGCCGACTGCGCCGAGGTCAGCCGTGGTATCCGATGCTATGGGCGTCGACTCCGGTTGCCCGGATGACGGCCGGGGATGAACACGTGGCTTGGCGTTTGTCGACGGTTGCTGCGTCAGTTCCCATTCATCTGTCGGCGGCCGGCAGCGATGATGACGAGCCCAGCACCAGGACTGCCGGAGCGACTGAGCTGCCGAAAGTGGCGAAAGTTAGTTGCGTGAAGATGACAGGCCGCCAACTGCGCCGAGGTCAGCCGTGGTATCCGATGTTATGGGCGTCGACTCCGGTTGCCCGGATGACGGCCGGGGATGAACACGTGGCTTGGCGTTTGTCGACGGTTGCTGCGTCAGTTCCCATTCATCTGTCGGCGGCCGGCAGCGATGATGACGAGCCCAGCACCAGGACTGCCGGAGCGACTGAGCTGCGTGTCCTGCCGAAAGTGGCGAAAGTTATTAATAATAATAATAATAATAATACTAGTACTAATAATAATATAATACTAATCAATCAATCAATCAATCAATCAATCAATCAATCTTTATTATACAGTGCCCAGGAACAACCTTGAGGTCTTGGTGCTGGTACACTGGTAAATAAAAAAAAAACACACTATACACATCTCCGCAGAAAATAAGATACATTTTTAGCATAATACTAGGCAGTGCACGAGTAATTAGTACAATGAAATAAAAACGAGGCAGTAATAGTAGAGACGGAACACAAGACCGAAGGACAACAAGTGCACCACCAGAAAACACGACATGGAGATGACGACATTCAGACATAACAAAGCAATTCAGCAATGCTCATCCTGCACGGGCAAGTTTTTAATAGAAAGGACAAACGTCCTGTAGCAAGGGTTGAAAATATCAAGTTTTTCAGAGTAATGATTCAAACGCTGAGCCATTCTCGCAATTGGGTTTACCGGACTAAACGTTCTAGAAACATAAAAAGATGACAGAAGACGAGTAGGCACACGTGGGACCCTAAGGCACAGTTCAGATAACAGGCTCGGAGAATTGATGAGTCCATGCAGCGTTTTAAACAAAAATAGTAAGTCCGCGTTCTCCCGACGCCGGTGCAAGCTAAGCAAACCAACACGCTCTAACGCAGACTCATATGTTAAACAGTGAACATCCTCCTTTATGTAGCGATGTTTAAAGATAGAAACAAACTTTTTTTTGCACACGCTCGATCTCCAAGGAGTGACTTTTAGAAATTCCATTCCAAACAACTGAGGCATATTCTAACTGTGACCTGGATAGCGAGCAGTATAACGTGATAAAAGCCGTCGGGTGTTTGAACTCCCTGGTTAAGCGAGAGGCAACACCCAACATTCGCAAAGACGAGTTAACCAGCCTACCAACGTGATCAGAGAAACGCAACCCAGAATCAACAATGACTCCGAGATCTTTCATTACACTTACTCGAGACAAAGTCTCTCCTTGAATATTATATGCAAAAGAGATATTGTGAGTTTTCCGAGAGAGCGTCATGACCTTGGTTTTGGACGGGTTCAAGAAAAGGTCATTTTCAGAGCACCATCGGTAGAAAGAACATGCATCTTCCTGGAGCTTAGCACAATCACGTTTAGTAACTATTTCTCGATAAATTTTTATATCGTCAGCATATTGCAGGAATGAAGAATTTAAAACAGCAAAAGAGACGTCATTTACGAAAATTGTGAACAGAAGGGGTCCTAAAACAGATCCCTGAGGAACGCCAGAGCGAGTCCTGTACAAAGAAGAGTTCATGTTGTTAACCCGGACATATGCCTCTCTCTCTGACAAGTAGCTTTTTAACCAGTCATGTACTGAGCCACATACTCCATAGGAGGAAAGTTTGGATAAAAGAATAATGTGATTGACTACGTCAAAAGCCTTACTTAAGTCAAAGTAGACAATATAATAATAATAAAAATAATAATAATAATACTAGGCAGTGCACAAGTACTGCACAATAATAATAATAATAATAATAATAATCAATCAATCAATCAATGTTTATTAAAGTGTCCAGGAACAACCAATCGGTCTTAGTGCTGGCACACTAAAAAAAATGAGCAAAAACACACACATACAAACACCCATACACACGAGTGCAGAAGGAGAACGTAGTTCTCCAGTCTGAGAATAAAAATATTAACAAGTATGAAAGACACTCAGATTAACAAGGGAAATCAAAAGCACAAAACAGAGACATCACCAGGTGTGAGAGCAAAAAGCAAATACTACATCAGCGCTCCAGCTGATCAGCCCTTTTCCTGCAGGAGGAAGATTTGAACAGCATTTCCGAACTTGCTCCCGCATGAGCTAAAAATATCAATTGTGTCAGAGTAGCGATTATAACACTCCGCCGATCTTTGGATCGGGTTTAAGTTGCTAAAATGACGAGCTATATAAAAAGATGATTGGAGCCGTGTAGGCACACGTGGAACTCTGAGGCTCACTTCGGACAGAAGGCTGGGAGAGTTAATCGAGCCGTGCAGGGTCTTAAACAAAAACAACAAATCTGCCTTCACCCGACGCTGCTGGAGGCTCAACAAGTTGACAAGTTGCGAGTTACACACACCGTTCAGACAAGGATCACCATTCTCAAGGTAACGATATTTAAAGATAGAAATAAATTTGTTTTGGACTCGCTCGACAGATGAGCTGTTAGTTTTGGAAATGCCGTTCCAAACAACCGAGGCGTACTCTAGCTGGGATCTAACTAAGGAACAATACAGCGTAAAAAAAGCGGACGGGCTTTTGAACTCCTTCGTTATGCGAGACACGGCACCTAACGTGCGCAAGGCCGATTGAACCACTTTGATGACGTGAGTGTCAAATCTCAAGGTTGAATCAAAGACAACTCCAAGGTCCCTCAGTTCACTTACACGTGACAGCAGTTCGCCATGATAACTATATGGAAAGAATATATGATGGGTTTTGCGAGAATATGTCATTATTTTTGTTTTAGAATGGTTCAAACGGAGGTCATTGTCTAAACACCAACGACCGAAGGAATATGCGTCATTCTGAAGCGCGATGCAGTCCTCTAAGGTCGATATTTTTTTGTAAAGTTTTATATCATCAGCGTACTGCAGAAATGAAGAATTTAATATTACTCGAGAGACATCATTTACAAAAATATTAAAAAGGAGGGGGCCCAAGACAGATCCCTGAGGCACTCCAGAGCTTGCCTTGTACAAGGACGAGGTAGTATTGTTGACGCGGACGTAGGCTTGCCTATCAGACAAATAGCTTTTTAACAAATTGTATACCGAACCAGATACTCCGTACGAAGAAAGCTTGTATAAGAGGATGTTGTGGTTGACTACGTCGAATGCCTTACTCAGGTCGAAATAAAAAACGTCAAGCTGACCTCTATTACAAACTACTTCAGAGGCAGCAGACATAAAAGATACGAGATTTGTGGATGTCGATCTGCCGGACATGAAACCATGCTGATTAGGAATGACTATACTACGAAACTTGAAGGAGAGAAATTGATGGATTACCATTTCAAAGAGTTTGGAAAAAGAAGAGAGAAGAGAAATCGGTCTGTAATTAAGAACATCACCACTATTTCCAGATTTCAGGACCGGAACAACCACTGCCAGTTTCCAGTCGTCAGGGAATATCCCTGACCTCAAGGAGTTATTGAAAATTGTGCACAGTATAGGCGTAAGTAATTCATGATAAGCCTTAACAATTGCAGCGGGTATCCCGTCATGACCTGCAGACAATGTGGGTTTCATTTTCTTAATACATAGCCTAACACATTCCTCATCGACAACCACAGAACCTAATGAGTCGCCAAAAACGTCCGAGTGAGGCAAAATAGATGAGGAGCAGTTATTATTATTAATGTAAACTGACGCAAAGTGATCAGCAAACAACTCAGACATGCCCTTCACACTGTCGCTATGCTGATTCAAGACGATTTCGGACTCAATATTCTTCCCCAAGCGCGATTTAGCGTACCTCCAAAATTTCTTGGAATTTTTAACAAGATCTGATTCCACCGAGTCAGAATGCGCCTGGCGATCACGGTTTAAAATTTTCTTACATCGCTTTCTGCAAATTTTAAATTCAACTTCCCACTTTGGAAGACCACTTTTCTTAAACCTCCTGTGCAAAAAATCTTTCCGTTTTAAAAGCGTTCTGAGTTCACGAGAGAACCAGATAGGGAAGCGAGATTTTTTAGACGTTTTAAGAGGGATATACATGTCCATAGCCTCCTGAACAACAGTTGTGAGGAGATATACTTGGCCGTTGATATCAGACGACTCCAGGATAGAAGCCCAGTCAACACCCGAAAGATGGTGATACATTCCAGTGTAGTCCCCCGCTGAATACTTATATGATGTGTGTGGGGAAGGACCATTAGAGGGACTGAGGACCGGAGGATCAAAAACAGAAAGAACTACATCAAGAGCAGGGTGATATCTATCCTCAGGAACCATAGAAAGTTCACTTCGAGCCACACGTATACCGTCCGTGTTTGAAAAGCATAAATCTAAAGCATTACCCTGGTCGTTTAGAATGTTATTGTGCTGTCTAAGATCTAAAAAGGAAGTAAAGTTGAGGAGATAGTTGCACTTTTGTTTACAATAAAAGTTGCCGGTAAGGACATTGAATTGTGTCCAGTTAATCCCTGGAGCGTTAAAATCCCCCAAGATTAGGATATTGCTCCCCTGTGAACCATTAATAGTATTTTCAATGTCAGCAAGACATCTTTGGAAATCATCTGGTGTCGTCTGAAGAGGAAGGTAAAACAGACCTATTAAAATACGTTCTCTGCTAGAACACTCAATTTCAACCCACAGAGACTCAGGAAATCTCTCCAGATCCTCACGTCTTCGTGAACTATATTGTTTGTTAACCGCGACCAATACACCGCCTCCTACTCGGCCCCGGGAAGAGAAATCACGATCATGACGGTAGACATAAAAACAAGGCGGAAAGTAGTCGGAGGAACTAACACTAGGACATAACCAAGTTTCCGTTAAGGACACAATTGAGTAATTAGATAGAGTAATGTTGGCAAAGAAACATTCAGCTTTCGTCCGCAGGCCACGGACATTCTGGTAAAACAAATCGACGTTACTCATCTTTGTATATAGTGTTGGGCTTGTGGGCTTTTTCAGACGAGTGAAGGAGTTCTTGACGAAGAGCGCCTCTGAAAGGTTTAAAAAGACAATCCTTCGGCCACAAAGCAGGGTCAGAGAGTTTCTCAAAGTCTTCGGCAGCTACAGAGACGTGAAAAGAGGCGTAAGTGTTGTAGTGAGTCTTCAGTCGGTGGCACTTCAAGTTTTCCACATCGAGGGAACACAGATGCCCAACGACGTAAGTAGAGGTGGTGACCGGATCCAGCTTGGTCACAAACAATGCCCTCCGGCGGGAAGATGAGGGGGCAACGCTCAGCTTGCACGCCACGGACGCTCCGGCTTGCGCGGGGATTCGAGTCTTCGGGCTGATCGGATTGGGCTTCACAGAAAGTGGATCATCTACCGACGCCTCGCTCACCAG